ACAAGCACTGATGTAGCGGGCCCTATTATAGTGCGGTTTGCAGGATCCAATCACAGACGCGCATTTGGCTTTGTCGCGCCTAATCTGAAAAGTAGAACTCCAAATTTAGACCAATCTCGCCTTCTTTCCCCCCTCCGAGTTACCCACAAACGCCCTGTCGGCCTATAGGCGATAGGCTTGGTATTGGAGAGCTCTGTAACCGCCCACGCCAGGCACGAGCGATTCGCTTCTCAAGAGCCTCTCGTTTTGACAACGACATGGCCTCCTGGAACACTGCCTCATATGGACCCTATGGCACAACCCACTCAGCTAAGGAACCCCCTACCTCAACCTCGAGTGCAGATGTCCAGTCAGCGACCGGATATGCGGTCACTTGTAGTCTGTGGCATCGATGCGTGACTCGACGACGTTGCTTTGGTTGGGCCGTGTTCGACAACGCTGTCTAAGTGGCATGCCATCGAGCCATCCAGGTGGGTTTGAGCCAAGAAAGCGAACAATGATCCGTCAATCAGTCCAGGTGGACACAAAGATGCTGAAGCTTTTCATCTCCTCATTGTTGTATCCGTGTGCTTTGCTCTTCCTCCTCCAGTCCAATCTGTGGTTTGTTGCTGGCCATACATGCGAAGGAAACCTGTCTTTGTCTGCTCCCTTTCGTGGATATACACCCTGTCAAGCCCCGTCACTTACATCTCCTGCCGGCCTATTCTTCATTGTTTGCTCGTGACTTTTCTTCCCTGTTATAATTTCCACTAGCCTCTTCGCCTCATACGCGCGCCCTCTAGACTTCTCGTGAATATACCCTGTGTTTGACGCCAGAATTTATTTGATACTCTATACGATTTCTTCTATCTTCATTCTCTATCCGGGCCAATGCTCGCGTTTGATTCCTTATATTCTCATTTTCCCAAGTAGACCTTTCTAATCCCCCTACCATTCATCATTCTCAATAGATCTCGGCATCTACGTGTTGATAGACTACCGAGCCTCAAGCCAAAAAGTACATTACATACCATGTCATACGTCCGGAGGCCGCTCCGGACTCTGCAACTCGCAGCAGTGCTCGCGATTGCGTCCGCAACCTCCATCCAAGCGAACCGGCTATTCGAAAGAGCCGGCACATGCGCCGCCAACTACAACAAATGCACACAGGCCGGGCTTCCAGAGAATTTCTGCTGCGCGACGGGGTCCTCATGTAACGTGCTCGCCGGGGCAACGACGGTGCTGTGCTGTCCCAACGACAGCGACTGCTCAACAATAGAGATCATCAACTGCAACTTATCTCTCCAGGACGCTGCAACGCACCCGCAGGCGGCGGTAAAAACGACGGAACTTGACGGGAAGCTTCCGACATGCGGGAATGGGTGCTGTCCCTTTGGATATCACTGTGATACGAAGAAGGGCAACTGTGTTGTTGATCAAGACCAAAGCCAGAAGCCGGGCGCCACCACATCAAGTATACCCAGCGCCACCCCGTCACCGCATCCGTCAACTACGAGTTCGACAGCGGGGGGCGGCACAAGCACCACCACAGGAGCTGCAGCATCAAGCGAGACGCCGGCGTCAGCAGCCGCCAGCACACTCAACACAGCGGCCATTGTAGGCGGCGTGGTCGGCGGACTTCTCGCCTTGTCGCTCGTCATAGCCGGGATCTGGTTCCTACGCCACAAACGCAAGCGGGCCGAAGCAGAGCGCGAGAAGCGTGAGACGACGGAGTCCTTCGGCAACATGATCAGCGCGCCGATCCCACACGCAGACTACCACACGCAGCGACTCGACTTCCTGGCCAAGGCGCAGAGCTCGAGCGTGGCGTCCTCGCCGACGCAGGGCGCGCAGGCACGGTTTCCGCCCAGCTCGCCGTACTCAGCCTTCGCGTTCCGCCCGGGCAGCGAGATGACGGACCGCCCACGCAGTCACCACGTCTCGGCTGAGGTCGGGGGCCTCCGGAATCTCACGGACCGGTACTCGGGTGGCAGCACGAACACCATCCCGAATCCGTTCCGCGGCGGTGAGCGCCTGAACAGCGGTGGCAGCGAGAGCATCAATATATTCGCTGACCCGTCGACTGTCGGCACGCCCTCGATATACAACCGCCGCGACACCACGTGGACCGAATTCCAACATCACGCGGACCAGCAAGGGCTCGACTCGCCCGTGAGGCGGAGACAATGAGTTGGTGAGTGTGGTGCAGCGCATCGCTCATCGTCAATGTATAGGAGATGCCTGGCTGCCTGATAGTTAGGGGGTGGTTCCAAGATGGGACCTTGCATAGCGCGCACGCGCAAAAATACTCAATAGCATGAATGGCGTTTGGAGGCGTTAGTACACGGGAGGAGGGAGGAGGAGAGAATAGTTTGATTTCAAACGGATATTTTTTTGAATTCTTTTTGGACATTAATCGGTTTTGATACCATCGGACATATACAGGGTACGAGAGCTGGCATCGGCGTTGCACTTTACAGATTTTCTTCCACAGCTCGTTGTAAATAGATTCGTTACAAAAGCCGTGAGCAACTTCACATTCATCGCTTTGGCGATCCAAACAAAGCCCAAGCAATTATTCGCAGCAGTATGTAAATCAGCACCAAGCATTTCCCATACTTAGTATATGTGTGCTTTTGTTATTATTAAAAAGAAATTTATATTTTCTCCCCTAGGATATGGTCACTCTCGCTCCCTATAACATGCAAAGATGAATGATAGAGAAGCCCCAGAGAGTGGTCTTGCCACTTCTGTATGGAGATATGAGTTGAAGGTTGAAGATAAGAGAAAGGCGACCAGCCTGATTTCGGTAACCAGGCGACATATGATTACTGCTTCTTCTTACTGGCCCTCTTCTCCGCGGCGGACGGGGGGCTGGAGCCATTGCTGGTGTTCTTCTCCTGCTCCTCAGCCGCCTCGCGCTGTGCCCGTTCGTACTCCTCGTTGTCCTTGCGCTCGGCGTACCACTGGCCGGCCTGCAGCACGAGGACGCCGAGGAGGACGAGGGCGAGGATGGTGTTGCTGGCGGCCATGACCTTGAGGCTGTCCTCGCGGCCGAGGATGACGCGGCCGTCGGCGTCCCGCTGCTGGGGGAGGTTCCCGGCGAACTCGGGGACGTGCCAGATGCCGGCGCTGACGAAGCGCAGGCCCTTGACGATGTTGGCGATGTAGACGCCGACGCCGATGACGTAGAGCACGAGCGAGGCGCCGTCGAACAGCATGTTGCTCTCGGAGGCGCGGAACAGCTTGACGAAGAAGCCGCAGAACCCGGTGCCGATCATGATGCTCAGCATGCGCGAGATCAGCGGCGGCGACTGGTGCACGAACTTGAGGTGCGTCTCCAGCTGGTCCAGGTACGAGGGCTCGATCGGGTCCGACGTCCAGAGGAGCGGGAAGTCATAGGGGAACTCGGCGAAGAGGATGCCGAGGAAGAAGCACACGGCTAGAGAAGCAGAGGGGTATAGGGTTAGCTGGTGCCATACCGAACAGAGAGACCCGGGTCGTCAAGGACCGGAGGGGATGTGGGTGAGGGGAAGGAAGGAAGGCGAGAGGAGAGGAGCAGAGAGGGGATCGCGATGCGGGGAGCTGGGTGCGCGAACATAGTATGCGACGAATAGAGGCACGAAGGGAAGGGAAGGGAAGGGAAGGGAAGGACTGTCTGTGGCTACTCACGCCCGATGATCAGAAATGTCGCAAACGACGACGACCCGCGGTAGTCCTTGGACCGCACATTCTTGGACCAGTCTACCCATTTATCCGCCATCGCGACAGGTGATCGTGTGCAGGTGCTGCAGGTGCCGTTGGAGCTGAGAAGATGCGCGCGCGCAATGAGGCTGTCCTTGTAGGGTGTACTTTGGATATAGGTATGATGCCTTGGACAATGTGGTTCCCCAATGCGATCGTTGTTGTTTGTGTTTTGTTGTACACACACCAGGTTAGCTTGGTGGTTAGCTTGGTGGGAGGAGCAACTTGTCGTTATCGCCCAGCCTGCGTATCGTTCTGTTTTTTTTTCAGCTCTCGGCTTTGCTGTGTTCTAAGGATATAGATACCTTTGGCGACTTAGCTCGTGGTGCTGTCGCAAGATGTACCTATCTCGCCTACCTACCTAGTAGGTATCTATCTCTCCACAAAATCCCATGTGTTGTACAGCACCTACGCTATCGGAGCCCACTGGACAGCCTAGGGGGTTCAGCCGCGTAGGATCCATGGGATTGCGTTCCGAGGTTCCCAGGGCAAAAAATAAAAATAAAGATATTATTGCCGCAATTTACGTACTTATACTTGACACATCGATGTGGTTTAACATGTGATGTGGCTTTCATCGAATTGACAGCTCGTCTGTTCGTTGCTATCATACTGCATTGTACATAAGTATGAGCTTGAGGTCTATGCCATCAGGAATTCCCGTAGCAGTTGCGTCTACTTTGTATGATTCATATATCCGATATTTAATACGGCATCCATTTGATCTACAGTTGTTGGCAACTACGAAGCATGGAAGACTGCATGTTGGGGAATGTTGCTAGGGTAAGGATTAGTTTGATTCATTACATGATAGCTGTGACTTTCACGGAATAATTGTATGCAATGTCGAGATGACTATGATACCACTTAAGGAAAAGTATCATGTTCTCTGGTATTGATATAATCTAACATTGACTGGAAAGATGAATAGAAACTGAGAAGTAATTACTCGCGACTTGTATCTTTGGGGGGACGAGATTAAAATAGATCAAAAAGCGCAGACAATGACTAAAGATGACACATGACACCCAGAATCATGTCAATTGTCAGGATAATGTGGAAGATGACAATAGTTACTGTACACATCGTAAGTGGTGAAGATTTCATGCTCCCTATAATCAAAAGGTTACTCTCGTTCACGGTATCCGAGAAAAGCTTGCATGCTGAAGCAGCTGGTTCCCAGCTTTAATACACATATCGAATCGACGGCTAAAAAGATAGAGGCGAAGCCGATGTGATTTTGGTTGATGTTCCCGTAACTGGGACATGAGGAATTGAGCCCCACGTGGGTTTCGAACCCACAACCTTGAGATTAAGAGTCTCACGCTCTACCGATTGAGCTAGCAGGGCGGTCGTGGTTGATTATTATTCACTGGAGGTTCGTTGTCAAATGGCCATCTATCTATATTGGGTCGGCTAGATGCTTCGACACCTGTATGGAGTACAATTGCTTAGAAGACTCCGCTGAAATATATTCGAGTTCTATATCTTCTGGGCCGCCGAGATGCTGCTTGAACTTTGCCTCGTGAATTCCGGGAATCCTAGTTAAGAACAAATACTATAAATATATTGACCGACGTCATCTACTTGTCTGCGATATCATATTCCCTCTTCCTAGATTGGTAAGTTGCAAACTTAGATCGCAGTTAAATTCCTATAGTTGAGCTGAGCCTTTAGGAGTATGCTGCCGCGGCATCGACCAGAGAGATGGAGCGGGTGCAGTAAGTAAGTCGTAACACTCATTGTTGATCAGTCTCGAAATTTGAGAAGTGCGCTTTTGTGTTCACGGGGTCATATCTGATTTTTTTTACTCAGTTGTCGTTCTTTATATATTACCCGATGGCGATATGGTAGGCTAGCTATCTATCGCCGAGATATCGTAACCTGACTAGAAGGGACAGAAATAAGTAGGGAATAAATGCTTTTTGTATACCAACTTTGTAACACTAATGCCTATGCCAGCCTACACTACACAATGGTAGGATATGTCATGAGTGATGCTTGGATGGGACGTAATGAATTCCGAGAAAACAGGGGGTTTGAGTGTGGCAAGCCCATCTTCTTTGATGTCCCCAGGCTTCGAGCTCTCTATGAATTTTATGCAAGCTAAGACGCCATCTTTTATCACTCAGTTCATATATTTTGCGGCATGCCACCTTACCTTGAGCTATCAAGATATTTCCTGACGTTGTATAACGTATACATATTGTGACGAGGCGGTATGAGAATCATCAAGGCTTGAGAAATCTGAAACTCGTACCGATGCTGCTGTCATGAAATCACAAACTAAGCGTTTACCTCCTGGGACCACCGCCATTTCTCAATGCTCTCCGAATCAATCTATCATTATTCTCGCTAGTGTAGGATGGGGTCCTCGCGTGGTCCTGTATCACGACTCGGAATTCTGGACGCTAATGGCAATAGGTTTGTCGCTACATCCTGTCTCGTATTGGTATTTTCTTCTCTTACTTTCTTTTTCCATAACAAAAAGGGAAGTGAAGAATAAATGCAAGAGTCGCGGTGCCGTGCTAGGCGTGCCCAGTATTCAGATAGACAACGCCGACGCAACTCCATTCGGGGCATCTCGATATGAATAGTGCGGGCTTCGTGGCCATCCATTAGTTGTTGACGAGCTTTACTAACCTGTTAAACCCCCTTTTCTGGGGGCTACATTAAGAGTCGTGGCCAACCATCATCTTCTCCCAATTAGACGACGCGGCGAGATGCGTACTAATTGGGAACGTCGTTTATTGTTATATTCATGGAGCCAAAACAGCTGTTCAATCGGCGAGGAAGGCTACATTATCGAGTTATAGATGAAGTCCTGGAGTGGTACCGCTTTCTTTCGCCAGTATATTCAGGACTGCACCGGCAATCTGGCCGTCCATATAGAAGCAGAAGGTACTGATGACGTGAATCTTGTTCCTTTAAATCTATTTCAACATCCATACACAATGCGCAACCGAGCAGGCCAATTCAAGACGAGAGATCACAAGCTCCTAAACTTACCCGGAAGAATGGTACCGTAGCAGTGTGGATGTTTAATACAGGTGTGATCGGACCAGAGTGAATATATCTGGGGTGTATTTTGCACGAAAAACAGTCGGATGTGTAAGTTAGCTTAGTTTCCCATTCCCGTAAGGACGAATGGAAATCTATCCCGAGAGCGACGATTCGTTGGCGGGGCCGCGAGGCATGACCCTGTAAAAGGTAGCTCACTCGAGGGATTGCCTCCTTGAACTGACTTTTACAGCTGATTCAGTGGAGCTCAATCAGGAAAAGTTTTGGTCACGTTTGGGACGGGTGTGTGAATAGGTAAGGACAACCGGCCCATGGGATGCTTAAGGTCTAACTGATAGTCTAGTTTAGCTACATGTAGGAGGTAGGTACATGAAGGTAGTAGGCATGATGAATCGGAGTCAATGCTGCTGTTACCGGGGGAGTATCAAGCTCGAAGTTGTTTGTGCCTGCATTCGCATCAACTAAAGCAGCTGCTTCCAAGTTCGGTAGACAGGGACCTCTCAAATTATACTTATATGTCGTAAAAGAGAAATTGTAGGCATTTCCACTGATGGATAGGTACTTCTTACTCACGGACACAGTACGAAAGTGTCTCGGAGGCAATCAAGACGATTTGGACCCCTCCAACCGTAGGTTACGCGCTAACAGCCTAAGCCCGCGGAGAACTAAAACCTACATAGGTAGTTGCTCGGTTGCTTCAAGGTTCCAACTGCTACTAAGTAAGAAGCGCTGTCCGGTCAAATATCCCGTTATGTATAGGTGGGTTATGTTTCTAAAACCACCCTTTATGTATACATGTAGGCTTGCCAAAACCTTGACTGATGCAATGGAGATTTATTATTCTCAGTACTTGGCTTGCATCACTCGAAAATCCAAGTGGCTAGGTATATTCCACTTCTTAAATAAGTACATACAGTACCTACTGTACCATACATTACGCAAAAGACACGGCCGGGGGGGGGCAAGCGCAGGCGTTGTGGGGCTCACTGAGCACCCTATGTGGTGCTGTAGATTGGAGTAGATCAGCCACACATTCACACTTGCATGCGGCTTTGAATTACAGACATTCACCTATGGCTGAGGTAGGTCAGGCGAGTACTTCAGGTATGACATACCTAAGTACTATTGAGTTAGCTAAGGTATCTAGAGTCTAGATCGCAACGGCGGTGGTGTCTGTGGGCCACCCACGATGCTGTACTGTTCTGTACATGAGTTCTCAAATGGATCGGTCATGTTAGTGCTTCAAGTTGCTTGCAGTACACTAAGTTAGACAGTCCGTCCCCTGTTAGAGGGAGGGCACATATGTTCACCGTCGATATGGTTGGTCACTAGCGAAACTTAAGCAGTACTGCCTAAGCACCTCAAGGCACTCAGAGTAAGTACCTACCTAATTCACCCGTAGACACATGCAGCCAATGAGCCAACAGGTACATTAGGTAAGGTAGGTAGGTCATCCCACTCAGTACCTACATGTACATAGCACTCTGCAATACGTAACCACCTTCCATGCAGGTGGTGGACCTATGCCCCCCACCCCCACCCGCTCGTCTGGCGACTGCGCACTCGAGGCACTCTAGCCCAGTAGACGGCTTCTCGCCGACATGGGCCGCTAACCTAGTCTCTTTGCTCAAGCATAGTCTCCTTCTTCGCCCTCTCTTATCCCCAACGACGGTAGCGCGATCCGATAATAGAAGAGAGAGAGAAAAAAACCCGGCTTGACAAACTCCTCACCCGTCGGTCGTACCATCACACTGCTCCAAAATCTTGCATCTGGCCGTCGGATCAAACAAAGAACCGATATTCACTGGCGACATCCATTGACATCGTCCTTGGCTGCTCCACCCTGGCCACCGCAATCGCCTACACTACTGAAATGCGACGCACAACCACGTCCTGTACATCTGCAGTAACCCGTACCATTATACCCTCGGCGCAAGCGAGCTGTAGAGCTCCTGGACCATTAATCCGCCATTGAACCGCCATCGACTCGCTCGCCGACATAGCCCTCCGCTTGTAACGCACCTCCGACCGTCGGCCAGCCGCAGTCTCTCCTGTGAGGGGCGAGCTGTGGTGTCCCGGAACGCTCTCGAGCGCCGCCCTCGCGCCCTGCGATGGCCATGCTCAACTCGGCCGCCTGGAATGGGCAGGACCACAACATGTCGTCTGCCGGCGACGACGACTTCCAGCAGTTCTTCGAGCTCGGCCTGTCTAACATGGGCGATTCGATGCAGTTCGACTTCCAACCCTTTAATCCTCAGAACGGCTCCTCCATGATTCAGCAGGGCCATCGCGACTCTGTCGATACTCCTATGAGCGATGCGAATGTGACCTCGACCGTTGCGCAGAGCAACACTGCAACACAGAATCAGGTTGCGGCAATGACCTCTGCGCCAAGTCACCCGCCCGTTCTCTCGCAGATTCTCCCCCATCAGCAGACGCCCAATGATGCTATCTCGGAAATCGATGCCCAGATACAGTTCTTGCAGCACCAGAGGTTGCAGCAGCAGCAACGTCAACTTGAGGAGCAGCAGAGACGATTACAAGAGCAGCAAGCTGCGCTATACGCTCAGCAGCAGCAGCAACAACAACAACAACAACAACAGCAACAGCAACAACAGCGGAACATAGTTCCCCCTACCCCCCAGAGTCTCGAGATGCAAGCCGCAAGCCAGTATTATGCCTCGCAAGATCAGCCGCATTCGGCGAGGATGTTCGAGGGATACCAGCATATCAAGGAACAACAAGATGTATGATTTTCTCGCCCAACTTCCCCGTCGCGAGCTAACACAGTCAAAGATGTCCTTTACGCCGCTGGTGTCTCCTGCAGTGACCCCCCTAGATGCTCCTTTCCCGGTAGACCATCAGTTTATGGTACCCAGTGCATATTTTAGTCCTATAACATCTCCGGCTTTATACGCACAGCCGGATTCCGCCTTTCTCTATGACCCAAGGCATTCGGGCCACACGAGCCAAACCACCAATTCGCCAGCTGCCATGGATGTGGAATCCCCGTCAGCCTCAACTGCAACCGATAATCTGCCCAAAGAGACACGCAAGAATAATGCGCCGAGGAGGAAACCCAAGGTGCGACAATCCCCTATCACGAAACCGCAACGGAAGAAGACAGCTTCCACACCAGTGATGAATGCCCAAGCGTTGAGTGAGTTGGTGGAGGTGGTAGCGGAGGGCACAGCACCGGCCCCTAAACCCAAATCCATCTCAGGCGCATCATCAAATGAAGAGTCAGAGAACGCGTCTGTGTCGCCCGAAGCCCTTGAAATGCCTCCCCCACCACTTCCGCTGCCACGATCGGCACGACAATCACCTAG